CTTGTTCAACAATACTGACAGAGGGTAGAAGTCCAAAGGCACTTGTATTGGCTTTGGCACTTCTTCTCGTTGCAGAACGTCATGCACATCCCCCCAGACGAGCAATTCCCTGCCACAGAACATCCAGAGGGAATCCCGCAGTGATTGATCGCTATGGTGGTACGCACTCAATGCAACCTCGGCCGAGGGACTGGCTGGAACAGACTCATCCACCGGCGGTGCAAAATTGAAGGAGAATTGATCTCGCATCAAAATATAGTACTCAACGTCGTGAGAAATGACCCGCATATCATATTTAAGCTCGCCAGATTCTGCCAAGCTGGGTTGTAATAAAACCATGTTTCCGTCTACCAAGAGCAGCACTGATGCCACCTTTACGTCCTGAGACGGATCGCCGTTTCCTGCCAGACGTTAGAAATTGCCATATTTCACAAACCCATGAGGGTGGCCCTTAGACACTTACGCATCTGATCCTCCGGCAGTACCCAGCTAATCGCCCGAACCCTGGTAGGTGCCCGCACAATACCGTTGAACGCAATCTGACCAACAGGGACAAGGGTTATCCGTTGCTGCATCGAGTTGATAATATAATGGTATAAGATGTTATCATAAGTGTAGACAAGAAGGGAATCTTCGCCAGAAGGTCCTATGAACACTACAGGCGAGGGAAGGTGTTCTGTGTGCAATATTGAATGCTTGTTCAAAGACAGTTCTCGGGAATATAGACGCAGCTGTAAAAAAGCTATCAGCCTTCTGTTGCTTCAAAACAGCTTAGTGGTACTCAAAAGACGAACCTCGTAGGAGCCATCACTTTCGACAGCGGCGATCAGAATGTGCCCATACCAGCACATGCCGCCGCGGACGGCAAACGAATTTTCTGTGTTCGGATCTTCAAAGACTTTCCAGCGACCGCTGTTGACGCTGTAATGCGCAAGTCCCCGTCTACCTGCAATGGCTATGTATCGCCCATCTTGCGAGACGACACTCGAGCGGATCGGCCACTGGGAATGGAGGTATGCTGGAGGATACTGTGCATGATGCCACAGTGAGTCCTTGCCCGAGATTGTCATAAGATCAGGTAAATCATGGCCGCGATATAGGATGACTTCTGTGCCAGTCTGCAACAAGCCTCTGGCTAGATTAGCTGAAGAAAAGCAGCCTGTAAGAGCGCTTCGAGCTGTTTCAAGGATCCATATGCGACGGTCATTCCGCCCTGTCAGTAGAATGTCTGACCCTCCGCCTACCCAGCATCCATTAGATACCCCAGTCAACCAGTCTTCAGAATTGTTTGCAGCGAGCGATCTATCCACCGAGAAGCTGTTTCCACCCGGTTTGCCAAATACGCTCCACGTTGTCCAGCCACGGTCATAGCCTGCAAAAAGACAATATCCATCCGGAGAGTAGGACATAAAGTTCAAGCTGCCAATGGTGGTAGGAGAAGCGGGTAGTTGGAGCTTGTGTGAGAATGGAACATTCCCTAGATAGTCTTTTGCTGTGTAGACGAGGATCTCACCATCGGCGCAGTTCACTGTGAGCAATGAAAACCGGGCATTGATCGCGACCTTGACTGCTTTTTCGCCATCATGCTTCGGATCGTGGAAGCAGTGGCCTTGGAAAAGTTTCCTTGGACTTTCTGCCGTGCTGGTCCTCTCCGGCAGTCGTTGTACGGCATATGCTTGTCCCTCGCTGGTAACCCACACCAATAGATTGATTGCTCGATCGTAGACCATATCCGTGATAGAGGTCCGCTTCGAAACATTCAGAATACGGCTGAGTAGCTCTGACGTGGTCTGGGCCCCGCTTGCGTCCGGAGCCCACCGAATGCATTGGACAGCCGCTGGTTTGACGGTAGCTACAACCAGCTCCCGGTCAAGAGCCAGAGCTTTGACAATGCCAGATTCGATTTTGATTGCCATCCGAAAGCGGAGGCTAACATCACGCACCGCATTCGCATCGTCCTCAGCAGACAGTCGAGCGAGTTGCTGACGACGGTTCTGACTCGATTGATCGAAATGTTGTTGATATACGCGACTGGTGGGGTCAGTCGCAATCGTATAAGTAAGCAGATATCCACCAAGTGTCTGGACAGCAAGTATCGTCGAGTCAGGATGCATCAGAACGGTGACATTCGAACCATAAGTCTTCAGGGATGAGGCGGAGCGGGCAATCGCAGCAACAACTGCGGTAGGCTAACGGCAAGTCAGCAGATCAATTCACACTCCATGACGAGCAAAAGGGTTGCAAGGTCATACTCTAGTCTGCCAAACAGCTATCGAGGAGTCGGTCATCGTCGCAAATATGTGGCCGCTCCGAGAAATACAGAGACCAGTAATGGCCTCATTGGCCCAGGCTGACTCGGTTTCGGGCCCCTCTCCCTTAACATTGTGATCCGTTGCAGATCTCTCCTCTTCAGTAGTCTCACGCTCCTTTGCCTCGGACTCGATATGGGAAGTAATTGGAATCCCTGGGCCATTGATCGCATAGACCCGCGGAACTCCATTTGGCCAGTACATGGCTCGACTTGGGTGCGATAGTCACAGACAGGAGGAGGAGCTCACATTGAGTCATCTTCGACTGCTCTAGGATGGAGTTTGATGTGTCAAACTCGGGACATTCCAATCCCAGAGAGACCCGCCGTGATTATCAAAGTCCTCCACGTCTTAGCCATCAAACCAACGACTATCTGATGTGTACGATGGTATTTGAGCCGACATGTTGATGATGATCCCATCATCACGTGTACCGGAGCTTCCCCTGACAAACAGAACAAACAAAGCAAACACCGCGGGCTGAGGCCCCCGCATTCGTTCAGCTTCACAAGCATTCGATTGATTCTCCAATCTTCCGCTTGCTTTATCTGTCTTTATTTTTTTTGACTTTGAACCAATCCGACATTTTGGTGCGATATTCAGTCAGTTCACAAAATGGTAAGATGGTCCGGCTCTCTAGTACACCATATTCATGGCAGATCAGTAACTTACCGACTMCTGTTCCGTCTAGGCTCCCACCGAGTCTCAGAAGCGCCTGGCGCTTGCAATTATTGACTTCTTAAACTCCAGCCTGAAGGATGGCACTCTGACTGCGGATGACGCTGAGTCCATTGAGATCGCTCAATCGTGTATTGCGGACACTTTCAAGGTCGACCCCTCCGATGAGGCTGCCGTCAAGGACGCTCTTGGCGGACAATCTCTGGCGAGCATATTCAGTGTCTACGAGAAGCTCCGTAAGAAGCCTTCGACAGAATCTGCCAGTGCTGGAGCGCAGGCCAAGAGCACAGAGGCACAGCAGCCCAGGGCTGGTGCCCCCACGCCCGAATCCGACAAGTTGAAATCGGAGGGAAATGCTGCCATGGCCCGCAAGGAATACAATAAGGCGATCGATCTTTACACTCAGGCCCTGTCCATCGCTCCCTCGAACCCAATCTACCTCTCCAACCGTGCGGCTGCCTACTCTGCCTCCGGTCAACATGAGAAAGCTGCGGAGGATGCGGAACTCGCCACTGTTGTGGATCCCAAGTACTCCAAGGCCTGGAGTCGTCTCGGTCTAGCGCGGTTCGATATGGCAGACTACAAGGGAGCAAAGGAAGCCTACGAAAAGGGTATTGAGGCGGAAGGTAACGGAGGTAGCGATGCGATGAAGAGAGGTCTTGAAACCACCAAGAGGAAGATCGAAGAGGCCAGCCGTGGTGCCGAGCCTCCTGCCGATGATGTCGACGATGCTGCTGGAGCATCGCGCGGTGCTGGTGGAATGCCTGATCTTTCCTCTCTCGCCAGCATGCTCGGTGGCGGCGGCGGCGGCGGTGGTGGTATGCCCGACCTTAGCTCCATCATGAACAACCCTATGTTCGCGAGCATGGCCCAGAACTTGATGAGCAACCCAGACATGCTGAACAACCTCATGAACAACCCTCAGTTGAGGCAGATGGCCGAGAACTTCGGCAGTGGCGGCGGAATGCCGGACATGTCTAGCTTGATGAGCGACCCAAGCCTTGCGGAGATGTAAGTTCATGCATTTACTTCTTTCCTGTCACAGAAAACTAACCAAACTATCTAGGGCAAGGAACATGATGGGCGGTGCCGGGCGTGGAGGTCAGCAGTAAACCAGAAGTTACCCTCGGTTGCATGAAAGTCCCCCTTTTCCATCCAGCTACGATATATTACCTCTGAATTTGTCTAAAAGATATTCACCTTCTCTGGCTTCACCCACCTGTGATTATTGAATACCAGCCATACCAGTTTGGTCATGAGTTTTTTGCAAACGGATAGAAACTTTAATCGCTAAAATAATATCCAATCTCGCCAATATACGAAGTAGCCAGTTATATTTGTCACTGATTAAAGGTATTACCTTGACAACCTCGACAAGGCACGCCAAGGTGACACCGGTGCATTGTACCTAGTACCAATGATCAGAATATATGTTCAGGTAGCTCGCCGCAAAAAAGCACCAGAAAACGGCAAAAAGGCTGGGTATGATTCCAGATGCCAATACATGAAAATGTTCGGAGTGGAGTTGGTTGTCGCATATCTCATAATACAACGCCGTATACGCCCATAGAGATAGGGGGGAAAAGGACATTGGCTATTATGCAGGCAATCCAGGATCAAAGATGTCCTGGCTATTCGTAACGATCCGTCCGCGCAGCCTTCGCTGACGGCGATACAGGAAAACTGGAAAACCAGATCCGTGAAATCCGTGGACAGGACACACAAGTACTCAGGCAGTAATAATAAAGAAAAAAGGAAAAGAAATAGAAAGGACACTGAAAATGGATCAATAGGCCGAAGTTACTATCACAGATAAAACATGAGCGCCGGTTCCGCCAGGTCTCTATTTAGATAGTCGATATGGTACAGTGGCATGATATGATATCAAAAATAATCGAGAAGAGTATGAGAGGTGATTCATCGTCAAAGGCTGCCGATAAGCAGGAAACGGAGAGTGACGGTCGAGAATTTGTTGAAGGGATAAGGTACGTAGGAGTAGATGTTGCGGGGACTTTAGATGTAGTCACGGGCAGCCTTCTGCAGTTCAATCAACCTCCATCCTCTGGTCTCGGGATTGTTGACGTCCTCGGGTATTCTCGTGAGACCAATGGCATAGGTAACCAGCTGCACCTTGTCTTCCATACCGGCTGCGAGTTCACCCGTCTTAACGTTGCGGTAAACATGTACCTCCTGTGTACGGCAGGTCACAACGAAGACGGGAATCTCGCCCGGTTCCAGCATACGGGCGTGGGAAACATCAACACCTCGGATATCGAGGATGCGGCCATCCGACTTGAGTCCCGCAGTGGTGTACTGTTTGGAAAGAGCAGCGTAAACATGGAATTGCGCATCAGAGAGCCAGAGCTTGAGCGTCTCAATATCGCCTTTGACGTAGGCATCAAGTACTTCTGGTAGAATATATTCGCGCATCTCCCTCAGGAATGATTCCATCTGGAAATTGGGATCCATTTCCCGGAATTTCTTGATGACCTGGGCAGTCTCATTTTCAGCAAAGAAGCTAGCGACACGATCCGAGATGCTGCGTGCTGTACTGATGAGAGGGTTCTCAGATTCGTTGTATGTCTCCTTCAGAGAGAAGAGTTTCTGCATCATAGGATTTGAGTCCTTGAATTCGCGCCACGACTCTTTCCAAGCAGAGTCCTTGTGAAGGGTAAGGTTGGTACCCGCACTGCACCAGGCAATTGTCAGAACGGTGAAAAGAAAACTCCATGTGAATGTACCACTTACTTTGGATCTTCAACCAGCGGCTCGCTCGAACGGCGCCCGCTCTTCAACTCCTTCTCTTCACGCAGTTGTCGTTGTCTACGGCGCTCTTCCTTCTCAATCCAGCCACCATACCGAGAGCTGCTTCCGTCATCGATGGCTTCCTTCACGTTCTTGTAGGCCTCCGTCTCACGTACGGGCCTTGTGGCCTTTTCAAGTCCCGCACCAGTGGCGCTGACACCCTTCCTGATACCCTTAACAACAGGGGTATCCCATGTCCATGCAGCTCCTTTTCCGATGGCCTGACCGGTCTTTTTCAACGCAGCCGACGTCTTCGAAGTTGCCGCACCCGAAGCGGCTTCATAAGCGGCACGAGCGCGCTTGACATTCTCGTTCTCGGCGAACTCATGAGCAGAGGACGCGAGAGCCTTAGTAGACTCATTCCATTCCTTTGATGCCTTGAACTCTGCTTGGAGAGTCTCTCTGAAAACCTGCCATGGAGTCTTGTCTCCGTGAGGGGGCGGTGGTGGAGGCGCCTCCTTCTGTCCTTCTTCCTTGTCCCCTTCACTCTTCGTCTCTTCGCTCTTCTCACTTTTTGGTTCTTCACTCTGCTTCTCTTTTTGCTGTTGTTGCCAACGGGCAGTGGCAATATGGAATGACCGCGTCAAAGGCAAAGCAGTATACGGAGAGATAAGTTGAACGCGTGTGGGAAGAGACGATTTTTGGCGCTGTAATACTGTAAGTGAGGTAGAGGTGGAGGTCGAATAAGCGCTATTTTGAATCAGAGTCCGCGAAGAAGCGATGGCATTGCCATATGTCGTCCTCAGGCCGGGGACATGGGACCGTAAAGTGGCCGCCCGTGCGACAGCCGACATTTTGTTAGCTGAGATCATGCTCTGGAAACCCGGAGACAAAATATAAGCCAAATATCGCAAGGTAAGTGTATTAGGGGTGACGAAGAATATGGGTCGGACCCCAAATGTTGAGGAGGAAGTGAATAGATTTGGGGCGTGGGGAGTAAGAGAGAAGAAGCGATTCGACTGGTGAAGAAGGGAAAAAAGTTGAGATCGCGGGCGCCAAGATCGAAAACTTCGGGCCTCGCCTTTTCCGCCGCCATTTTCTCCAGGCCCCGTCGACAAGGTATTATTGTTGCCGATTCAACCGGATTAGCTGAGTATGCCCCATCTCGTTTGAAACTTTGTACTTGATCTCTCTTTATACTTCGTTATCGCATCGGCCTTCCGCTCAACTCAGAGGTTCTGTTCTGCGTTTGTGCCGAATCGACTGGCCTTTCGCTTCTCTTATTTGCCTCAACAGCCGCACGTCCCCGATATCATCCTCGGCAACGCAGCAATATGAACTCTTTCACCTCCTGGGTCAAGGCATTGTCACATACTAGCCGATCATGCCAGTCGCGAGTGATCTCCCCGCGCGTGCTGCGCCCCTTTTCTGCCACAACGAAGGCCAGCTCAAGCGCGAAAGAAAAAACTCGCGAGATTGAGAGACAAATTCTGAATCCCAAGTCGGAACAGACCACCGAAGACAATTCGCCGCTCTCTGCTATTACTAGAATGATGCAAGGAGAAAAAGCTCGCGCTAGCCAGGCCGTCAGTCGCGACTATTCCCGCATGGCCGAGAGTTTGGAAGCAGAGATGATTAAAGACCCATATGCCGATCGTTCTCCTCCTCACCATCTTCACGTTTACGCCCACAAACACAATACACTGCTCACGCTGACGCAACCAAACGGGAACCCAATGCTGTCGATGAGTTGTGGACACCTCGGCTTTCGGAAAGGTGGACGTTCTGGATATGACCCAGCGTATCAGTTGACGTCCCACGTGTTTGGTCAAATTCAGGAAAGAGGCTATCTCATGAACATTCAACGGCTCGAAATCGTCTTTCAGGGCTTCGGTCAGGGTCGAGAGGCATTTACCAAGGTTCTGCTTGGCAGTGAGGGAAGGAATATTCGGGGGTTGGTGAGTCGAGTGACAGATTCGACACGGATAAAGTTCGGTGGTACGAGAAGCAGAAAAGTCCGCAGACTGGGTTAATCCTGCGTGGTATCTATATTCCTTTCCCATGCCCACGCCTCGAGAGGTATCTATTCTTTCGCTTCAGCGTCAACTGAAAACAAGGAGCTTGGTGGGCAGCGCATTTCGGTCAGGCATTGGCTCGCACAACTGGAGTTCTTTGAGTCTCCTATGTGACTCTGCAGTGTCTGGGATCTTTAGTGAACCCAGTCTGGGCTGCAGCTATATTTGTACATTAGTCGTTTCTTTTTTTTTTACAGGAGATACACAAAAGATTCTTAGGTTGTATTCTGCATCTTGATCTCATCTCAAGTCCAACTCGCATCTTCATTGCCTTCCAATATCAATGCCTTTTCTTGAGCGCTATCATTTTAGATGTTGAGAACTCCTCAGTAGTTCTGAATGCACCAAAAAACAAATGCTTGCCATAGATAATCAGCAGCTTACCAAATATGGACTAGCGCGTTAGCTCCAATGTCTCCGAAAGCTGCTGGCTGAAAGGCTTCAGCTCCTCGTCTTTGATCGCAAACGTTTCTACGTGAATCTCAATTCTGCTATCTATTTTGTTTTGATTGTATGGAATTTTACCCATCCGATATTCTTTCATAGATTTGTCTTTTGTTTGAGGGTTTCAGCAATAGTTGGGTCTGCGCGGTTACTAGTTCCTCAGCGAGCGTATGCGCCGGAACTGCTCCTCTCTTGTGACGATCACCGGGTGCAGCGCAAACCCGACCTTGGGATTAAGACGAACGGCTTGATGAGTGCCGGAATTCCTTTCTCGGGCCGTCGTCCAAGACCGTTTGGATGCACCCTCTAAATCCCTTCCTCCGTGCCTTCTTCCGAAGCACTGTCCCAGGGCAGTGTCTGCCGATAGAGAATCATGTATGCCTTGTTGGATCATATTGGACTAAGCCTGGGGAATATTCTCTTACCTTTGCTGCAGGTTCTGCTCGTTCCGATAACGGAATCCTTAATCGGGTCGCGAGACCGGGAGTCCAACCTTCTCTATTCCGACCTTGTGGTGTCCGAAGAGTTTCTGGGAAGTCATACACTGCGAGTACCGATTGCCAATGGAGCTACCGGGAATGCCAAGGATGATTCGAATGTTCGTGATAGTAGGGGGAAGGCAAAGCAGGTGACAACTGTCAACGGACGAACCGTGATTATCAAAGAGAGTTCGGTTTACAGCAACAAAGGTAGGAATGGCCTCTTTCCGTTCTGACCCCCTCAACACCCCCCCCCCTCTTTTTTTTTTCTTTCGCCTGTGCTGAACGACATTGTCAGGCTTCAAATCCCTAACCCAAGCTCAGCTCCTGTCCGACGCTCTGTACTATACTCCAAGTACCGACTCCCAGCCATGGCTTATCTACTACATCTCCCGCCCGTTGATCGGCTTATTCGACCCAGGGAAGATCATCTCTGCTGTAGTGCCCGGGTCGCTACCTCAGAGAGTAGTCACGAATACGGGCGCCAAAGCTGGCGATTCTGCCTCTTCATTACCGAAGAAAGAAATCAAGTCGTTCGGAGAACTGCTGGCCAATTTTCCTATGATTGCAAGACAGATGCAGCCAGGCTTGGACAGATTATTCCGAGAATTTGGGAAAGAACTGGGGAAACCGTTGCCGCCTCCTCCGTCGCGCTCGCCTTCCATCCCTGATGACTACGAACGTAAACCAGATCGCCATGAACATTCGGCGGATGAAGTCGCTTCTATTCGGAGCACGTCGTCCCGCAACAGAGAAGGACTTCCCTTTAATTCCGAGGAGTACTTTGAAGATGATGAGGATTTGATGCGCCGCAGCCTGGAGACAGCAGTTACCGCCGCAATCGATCTGTTCCGGCTCGTGGACAAACAGCAGTTGTCTCTTCTCGGCGCCACGACCGACCTGACTGGACCTCTGGTAGAACGGTTGATTGAGCGTTATGTTGCCGAGCAAGTACATGAACCGCTGCTGTTTCCTCGACTGTGCAGCTTCCGTCAACCCGAGGACACAGAACTGGATTCCAGAATTCGCCATATGGAGAATCTAGATGTTTCACAAGTAGGAATCGTTGTCGAAGGAGGACGAGAGGGCAAAAGAGAGCTGCTACATCGGCTCGGAAGAGCGGTAGAGGAGTTCCGAAAGATGACAGACGCAAAGTGTCCACACGACATGCTCAGTACATTGCTGGAGACAGTCAAAGTCTTATCGTACCCCGGGACGTATGATAACGCGAATCTTCAAGCCTCGGAAAAACAGATTGCGCCCGTCACCGTAAATGCGGATATTCTGGTCTCCTTGTTACTTATTGTGGTTATCAGGTCCCAGGTCAGACATCTACAAGCAAGACTCTTGTATATGCAGCACTTCATCTATATCGACGATGTTGATAGCGGTGAAATGGGTTATGCTTTGAGCACATTCGAGGCAGTCCTTACGTACTTAGTGACTGATTCAGCGGGCCTCCGAAGAGCCAGTATTCGCAACAAGCGCCTGTGGAATGCCACTAGAGCCGGACGAGTTGCCGAAATGAGGGCAATTCTTGAACCCGAAGGTGACAATAGCTCACTGGACGATGCCCCGGACGAGTCAGAAGGGAAATCAGTCTTCTTCAAAACCGGTGAGGGCGAAGACGTGGATGAACCGCTACGAGGACTTTCTATTCATCGAAGGCTCTCAAGGTCAAATAGTGAACATCAAGAAATTGATGAAACTCTTTCTGAGGCACCACCGCTGGCACATGTGTTCCCATTTCAAACATGGGCAAACACCTCCCCGCCAAAGGAAGTTCAGCGTCCTGTGAAGAAAGTCTCCATGGATGTCCGCAGCATATCGGAGTCGTCAGCTACTTCGCTTCTCTCTCGCACCACCACCATCGAATCAATGACCAGTGCAATAGAAGGGGACAGCTCAATCGAGACGTTGACCAAAACGCAAGATCCTGCGGGTGATTCAATTCCCATGATGGCCGTTGACAGTCGCCAGCCGGAGGCTCTCAAGTACTTGCTGAGCCTGGAAGAGTACTACTCATTGGAAGACATTCTCGAGGATACAAACACCGATGGAACAACGTTACTCAGTGCCGCGGTGCAACTCGCTCACCCTGAGATGGTAGAAACTTTGCTCGACTTTCTGTTCAGTGCAACTGACGAGCGAACAATTGCTGGTTACCTCAAAAAAGCAGACATGCACGGACGCACAGTTGCTCACTATTTGTTCAGTACACCATCAGTAATGTACAGACTGGAAAGACTCATTCCTTGGCGACAGCGTGACAGAAATGGCCAGACGCCGCTCTTTGCTCTTTGCAGATCTTATGATCATCCTGATTATAAGTCGATGGTCAACGAGGCGTTGACCGCCGCTCAAAGATCTCAGGGAGACGGCTTGCCTCTGCGGCTTGACGACCATGTGGACTCGAAGGGGAATACACTGCTACACATCGTCGGTGATCCAGAGATAACAATTCGAATTCTACGGGAAAGCGATTGTGATCCAAACGCGACCAACGAGAAGAAGTTCACGCCGCTGATGATGGCTAGCAAGTACGGCCGCGTCGATCAAGTGCGTATCCTTTTTTTGGATCCCCGGGTTGATGTACATCTCAAGGAAGCTCGCGGATTGACGGCCGTCGAGCTCGCCAAAGATGACGAAGTCCGTAATCGCATTGACGATCTCATTCTTGTCTCAAATTCGCCCTCGGCATATGATGACCCATCTGGTCGTGTCACCACAGTTGTACGCTCATACTTCGTTGAGGATGCCACAGTACGCTTTGTTTTGAAGTCGGGCGCGCCAAGCTCTCGGTCCCAGTCAGACGAATCTCGAGCTGGGTCAACCACCTACACGGTCACTACATGCCGTCGCACCCTCTCGGACTTCGAAAATCTTGCTCAGTGTCTCGCAATGGAGCATCCGGCCTCTTATATCCCTTCCTTTTCTGACTTTCGCAATCCTTTTCAAATTCATTCCAAACCATCCAGGTCTGTTCTCCACAACATGCAAGAGAGGCTAGACAGATTCTTGAAAATCCTGCTTACCCATCCAACCTTTGCGACGCACGAGATGCTGTGGGAGTTCTTCCTGGTGCCCGAGCTGCAGCCGGAGATGATGACGGACAGGTCCCGACGCAAGGCGTTGGTACTCTCCGAGTCGATTGCAGACGACTACGCGCCTGTGACAGTTGAAGGCATACGTGAAACAGAACAGTTCGTGGCGCAGGCTCAGGACATGGTTCGTGCCCTTCACGCCAACACGCGCAGTCTGATTCGCCGTGGTCATTCCTTGCAGAATGCCGCGTCAGATATGGCCGACGCGCTGGCGCTGTGCTCGTCGGTAGTCTCGACTCTCCAGGAGCCCACAAACGCGCTTCCCCATTCACACGTGGACGCTTTCACCCGCTACGCTTCCTATTTGTCAACCTCATCCTCAGACTCATCTCCGCTTCTTCAGTTCCTATCAGTCTTTGCCTCGATCGACAACACGACTGTTGCAATACTCGGTTCGCTCTCCCGCCCTATTTCGCTCATATCGAATCTACAATCCACAACCCGCAATCTCTCCCGCAATCGCTCCTCTCTCATCTCATCATCTTTGCCCCGGAAATTCAACATCAACTTTCCGGGCCTGGAGGAATCCCGACAGAAGTCAGTTCGTGATCTGGAACAGAAGATCCAAGAGGCTGAAGTCCATATCGGACGCCTCTCCCGGGAAATCTCATGGAACAAGGATGTTGTGGTCGGGGAACTCGCCGGATGGACATCCTGGCGGGAAAAAGTCGGCCGGGACGCCATCCGCGACTTCGTCAGGTCCACCCTGGTCCGAGAAAAGGAGCGAGGGAAACGCCTTGAACGGTGCTTGAACCGGATACGGGAGATGAACAACCGTACAGTACGATAGATAGACTTATGTGGCGCTGGCTCATTTGCTTGCCTATAGAATAGTTTTGTGCCTCCTTCCTTCTCGTTCAAAGCCTTTAATTTTTAATGACCCACTACATCTGTGACGACGCTGATGAAAATGAGGATGGGGTACGGTGGCATCAATGCATTGTCTGCCATTCTTTCTTTTAGAAGGGATCATGTTCGATATCTATACAACTTGTGAGGAAAAAGAGATTCAAGAATGTACAACTCTCGTGACCATTTCCTTCCAGCGACGTAGGTATGTGTTCAATAGGCATGCCTCTAGTGTGTACAGCCTACGACCAAACAAAATTCTGAATTCTGGGAATGTCCATTAGAACCGCTAAGCAATTGACAGATCCGAGTATTCAAAAGCTCTCGACGAGCGTTACAAGTGCCGAAGAGGCTTGGGAACGGCACTCTACTCGAAGCTATGGCGCCTTTGAGGTCGCGATCCACGAGGATGATAACGCTTGAACCTAAGTGACACGTACATTCAGAATTCGAAAAGAGGTGACGTGCTTCTCTCGATCGCTGGAAGACGGAAAAGTTGATCTGTAGACGGAGTCTGGTTGTGGACCTCGCGCCGAGCTTTTCGGTGTGGCCTTTGAGGGCCTGCTTGCGGCTCAGGCAGGCTTAATTCATCGATAGTTCTCAACGATGATTGCCACCCAATCTCTGCTGCTTTTCCTGACACCGTTCGATTCAATGGAGACACAACGACCACTTGCTTTGGAACAAAGCCGGCCCGCCATGGCTCCGTGGGCAACTCGGATTTCCCTGGGCGTTCAAGCACAGACGCTTGTGGGTGCCTGACTTCTGACTGCTTTGGAGCAGCAAATGAGCCAAGAGGCGAAACTGGCATGGCATCTGCGTTTGCGCAAAGTGCTCTACTCACGGCTTCCAGCCTCATTGCCTCTTCCGCGACGTATGGCATAGTAGTTGGACGGCTCTTGTCAGATATCGACAATTCGCGGCTGCGTCTGATTTTCGGCGTGCTTCCAAATGAGTAGGAAGCAATGTTGTCATCGAGAGGAGATATTGCAGCGTATTTAGAGTTCGCGTAATCGCGTTTCCTTTTCTTGTATCGCTTCCAGGATTGTCGGAGCCTTCTGATGAGGAGGACGGTCAGGGCTATAAACGCCACAGTGGTAATAACTATGAATACTACCGCGGCAGCAATGGAGCTCTTCTTGTAGCTCCAATGCGGGAGGAAGGACTTATGCGATGGTGTTGGAGTTACGGAATCCGCGGTCGAGCTCACGGTTCTCTTGTATACTGCTGTCGGCGTACATGTGCATTGGGTCTTCTTCGAAGCCAACCTGTGCGATTTTGTAGATTCTGCGCGTGTCTCCTCCATCCCTATCGACGATTGATGTTTTGTCGAGCGCCCCAAGCCAATGGTGAAATATAGGCGCGTGGAATCGTCGGATGTATCGACCTCATTGTTTAGTGTGAATCGGTCATCCCCCCCGACGCTCAGTTGCTGAATATGCAGTTTATCTTTGAAGAAATTGTAGATGCTATCCCATCTATCCTTTGGCCATGAACGAATCCCTTTCGGTGCGGTTGATGATGGTATTGATGCGGATACCACTTTGGATAGTGACGGCAGTAATGCTGAAGACGCAATGGAAGGTTCCGGAGAGCACACAAAGGGAGAGCTTAATAGCAGAGTGTACATGGCACTACAAAGTAATGCGAGCATGAGGAGTAGGCTTCCTTGCATCCTGGTTTCCAAGAGGTCTCCCTAGGATCACCTTAAAGACCTCACGCTCAAGACATAGGTACAATGAGTGGAGAAACCACCGCGGATGAATATCTGGATATCATTCGCATATTACTTTCTGACCAGCTGAGGCTTGGTACTATGCCGGTAAAAGCAGGCACGATGGCAGTGGTCGACGCAGCTTCCTTCCGCGCATTTTGTATATTTTCAGCACACAAACGCACCGCTTGATATCAGCACCAAATCATGCCTAATTTCTAAAACTTTAGTAAGGCGCAGGATGAGACAGGAGAATTGAGTTCCTTTGTGACCAAGACTTGAACATTTCGGAGACCTCGTTGCACTCCGAAAATATGTTAAGAAGATGGAAGTATTCTGACACTTAGTGAAACTACTCACCTGGCTGATACCATAGATCATGATTTATAGAGACACACAAACCACTTCACAATCATTTATAGATCATCTACGAGAGGTACAGAGACTTAAAACACTATATGGTGCTGAAAGGGATACAAAGCACAGAAGACAAAGCCCGTGACTGTGAAATCATCATCATGGAGGCAGATAACACTAATCCCAAAAGGGATATATAGATCTAGATGCCTGCTTCTCCACAAACGACGTCATGGTCGATCATCATTGCTGCCTTCAAGCTATATAAATCCCCAGCATTTGAGAATACACCAGCAGGAAGATCATCGACACATACTTGAATGGGAATTTCTCAGCCCTTCCCTTTTCGCAACTCAATAACACGAACATTTTTTACACAAACGCAGTTCACCATGCCTCTTGTCGTCCCAGGAATCAACTCGAACATGGGTTCTAATACGGGCGAATGGCTCAACAAGCTCGCCGGCAAAAAGATCAGTGACTCTACCAGCGATGTGAATGTGCGATTTTGGACTATTTTACTCTGATCGTATATTGGTTGCTGATGGTGAACAGACCTTTGCGAAGAAGGATTTACCCGAGCACCATCGAGTTCTTCGTCCCGGTGACGCGATGACTATGGATCATAGACCGGAAAGGTATGCATGCCTGCTTAGTTACTATATCTATGTTGATATGGATAAATGCTGATGACTTGTTATTTTGCCAGACTCAACATCCACCTCGACGAGGAGGATAAAGTCAAGGATGTCAACTTTGGTTGAGTTACGATGAGGGAATGTGATGGTTGATGGTTTAGGATACACGAGAGTCTTACACCCCCAAATCACCTGTGATGAGACATGTCCTAGAATGATGAAATAATGTGATATGATGTCTATCATGAGCCGTTTCTATATTTTAGTATAGCATCATTAGGCCGAAAGAAACCCGAAGAAACAGCGGGTTGAAGAAGATTAGAGCCGTCTTCAGACCTCTAAACTTGCTCCGCCTTCCACCTAAGTAGAGTGAACGAGTGCTTGGGGAAGTTGTAGGCACCCTTGCCGTCCCAAGTGCTTTCCGTCAGGCCAACTTCCTGTTTTCCCTTCATGTTGCAGGCCGAGACACTGGCTCCAGTGACCGTGAATACGGTGACATCACCGGTAGCCCCCTCGAACTTGCTCTCCATGTCCTTTTCGTCGCTGATGTTGACGACAGCAACATTAACATATCCGTCCTCTCCCAAGGTGGCACTGACATCCAGCCAGGGAGTGTCCTTGACGGCGCGGACCCACTTGGGACTCGTTTCGCCCTCATAGGCACCACAGGAAACATGCGCATTGATGGTCCAGCCTCGCATATACTTCGAGAACAGGTACAACGGCCACCAGATAGTCTGCTTTATGATACCGTCCTTGGTCGTCATCAACGGGGAGATGACATTGACGCTCTGTGCAATACAGGCCATCCCGACGTCTTTGCTCTTACGCACAAAGACGTTGAGCCAGATGGCCACGGCCAGAGCGTCGGAGAGGGTATAGCTTTCCTCGGCGCCCTTGCTGCCCTCAGCGCGCAGAGGGTCCCACACGTTCCACTCGTCAAAGCAGATTGTGGGCCGCGGCTGGTCAGGAGGAACACCGTTCTCAATCATGGCAAGGTCGATGAGGGACGAGGTAATCTCAATCGCGCGCTCAGCGGCGAGGGGAGCAGTGACGTTGGGGAGATGAGTTGAACCGCAGGTGTAGAGATGGATACTGTGCATGTCGATGAGAGGGACGGTGCTAGTAGAGAGAGGCGAGTGAGCGGGAAGCAGGCAATGTTTCAGTGTGTAGTAATCCCATGAGGCAGTGCCGTCTTGGCCACAGAGGATCAATTTCAGAGTGGGGTCGAGCAGCTTCAGCGCTAGAAAGTATATTAGCATGACTGGTTGGTTCTTGCGGATTCGAAGCGATTAGGTTCTCACCCTTTGCCCACTGGTAGGCCTTGTGAGCGTACTCCTCCTTGGTCAGCTGGGCGACCTGCCATGGTCCCCACACTTCGTTACCAAGAGCCCAGTATTTGATCTAGAGAGTTGATGTTAGTGTCTGGCAGATGACCAGTAGCCCAGGTGGCATACGTTGTAAGGCTCTTCACGGCCATTCTTCCTCCGAAGATTGGCGTAATAAGTGTCCTTTGTACCGTTACAGTACTCAACCCACGCAAGAGCTAGACACCCACATTAGTACAAGCCGACAGGAAGTACGAAGCTGGCATGGTTTACCTTCATCAAGAGTTCCTGGAGACAAACGTCAGCATTCGCATTATAGCACAGCTGGACAGTATCGTACCTGTGCCAAAGTTCAAGCAAAAGTAAGGCTCAGTTCCAAGAAGCTCGCACCACTTCATGAACTCGTCTGTTCCAAACTGGTTGGTCTCGGTTCCCAGCCAAGCCAGCTCAGGTCTGTAGAGCCATGAAACTGGGTTAACAATTCGCTCAAAGAGTAATTCCTGAAGCTCTAGCTGGAGGTGCAGTTACCTTGCAGGCCGTTGATCTTTAGGACCGACACCATCGATCCAGTGATATGTAGCCGTAAAATTACCACCAGGGTAACGAACAACAGGAATGTTCAGCTCCTTGAGGGCTTCCAGTACATCTTTACGAAAGCCATTCTCGTCGGACAGAGGATTGCCTGGGTCATAGATGCCTCCATAAATGCATCGGCCCATATGCCTGAGGCCATAGGTTAGCACAACTGTCGGAGTCGCAATGTCTTCAGCATCCAGCGTGGATTGGCCTTACTCTGTGAACCCGGCATATATATTAGGGTTGATCTTGGAAATGCGTCGCGACGCATGAACGGAGATACTAGGTGTTTCCTGCTCACTGAGCTTCGTGAAGGTAGTCATGATTGGATTTGGCAGTCAACAAATCCCGGCGAAATGAGTCAAGTATTCAACGACTAAGAGATCTTAAAGCCCAACAGGAACGATAGACTGGGGAAGAAGGAATAACAATCAGTACTATTGTCCGAAGCAACCGCAACGGATTCGTCTCGATAAGGCGCTCTAAAACTCCAGCTTGTATGCTGGATTTATCGTCAGCCATCGCTCCATTATTACTATTGAATTGGGCAAATTCCCTGCGGGGGAATTCCAGGCCTCTAAACGATGATGAGGAGATGGCGAGCGCTGTGGTTGATGGCAACTGGAACAGTTGGCTGGGGAATGCTGCTTAGTGTCGGTGCCGAGGGAACGCCAGCAGTTGTTCCATCAATCAGCTTGCTGCTCTCCTGGTGAGGTTTCTCGTTATGATCTGCTCTGATTTGTTGCTTTCACTTTCAGACAGCGAAACCAGCTCCCCGCATAGCCCAGTTATGTCTGTCTTTTGACTCTTCCTTGCCATGGGTTTAAGAGCGATTGACTTGGCGCCAGGATTTGTTGGTTTCACCGTTTAGTCGGTCTGCTCAATTTGAAGGTGCCGCGTGAGGTTCCTCGATCAAGGAAACTTGCCCTTTTGGCAATTACTCCACCGGATATTCGTGTTCTAAGCTTCGCGAGAGTCGTTGCTGCACGGTAAATGATATGGCGTTGACTGTATTGCGTCGCGTGGTGCTGCCACTCAATTGCCTTGATCCGAACCCCAGTACGGAGTAGATATTCATAAAAAGGCCCTGCGGAGCACCCCAGGACGATCCTTTTCATTCTCCGCATTTTTTTGTTTTCCCCAGAGGAATAATCATCGTTACTACTAATCCAGATCCTTTATTGGAGTGATCATGCGCTTGAGTCCGTCGTGGTACCAGGTATGTGCAGCAATGCCTGAGGTACTTGACTCTATGCTGACCTGTCCGTGGCTAGTTCCTGGTGGGCGTCTTCGCCTCCCTGGGTTCGTTCCTTTTTGGCTGTATGTATACTATCCGCTGGACCTTTGAGTGCTCACAGCGCTGACGTGCTGTGTCAAGATGATTTGGGTGTCATTGCCGAAGTTATTTCGTGCCACTCTTTCGAGGCAAAGTTTGCCGCAAATGACACGCAAACGTGAGTGTATCTGCTTTTGCTGGCTAGAGGGCTCATAAAGTCTGACGCCTGCGTAGTGGGTTGGTAGTGTCCATGTTCACGACGGGAGCCTTCTTTGGGGCAGGGTTTGCCGGTCCCAGCGGTGATTATTTGGGACGACGATTGACCATCGCGATCGGTTGTCTCGTCTTCTGCCTCGGAGGAGGTCTTCAAACTGGTGCCCAGACGATTTCCTACTTGTACGCCGGAAGATTCTTCGCCGGGCTCGGGTAGGTTGAATGCCCTCAAGCAGACCAGGCGACCTTGCTAACGGAGAACGCAGAGTTGGTTTCCTCACCATGATTGTTCCCTTGTACCAAGCCGAAATCTGCCACCCCAAGATTCGAGGTCGTGTGACAGGCTTGCAGCAGTTCATGCTGGGTGTCGGTGCGCTGTGTGCCGCGTGGATCTCATATGGTACCTACGTCGGATTTGATCCGACGAACAACGCTCAGTGGCAAGTTCCACTTGGTCTGCAGATAGCCCCTGCAGTCGTCCTGGGTCTACTGATTATGTTCTTCCCTGAGGTAACAAGAAAGAATGCTTTTCTTACAGAATGCGACGCTAATACAAGAACAGTCACCTCGTTGGCTCATTGACCATGGCTTCAACGAAAAGGGCCTGCAGACCCTCGCAAAGCTACATGCGCATGGTAATGAGGATGACGCGTGGGTGCGTGCAGAGTACAATCAGATCCAGGAGAGCATTGTGTATGAGCACGAGCACGAGGCCAAGTCCTACAGTGAGCTATTCACTAATCGGTCGTCTTTCCGCCGCCTTTTCCTATGCTGTGCCCTTCAGGCGTCGGTGCAAATGACTGGTGTCTCGGCGATCCAGTGAGTATTCTCCATATGTGACGACTAGCAGTGTGGTTCTAACGATGAAAACCTTGCAGATACTATTCTGTGACAATCTATAAACAGATCGGCATTTCGGGCGACGACACGCTCAAGTACCAGGCGATCAATTCAATMATCGCTTTGGTCGCGGAGTGCCTATGCATGCTGTTTATTGATCGTTTCGGTCGCCGCCGGACTCTCATCGGTGGCAACCTGGGCAACATGGTCACCTTCATCATCGCGTGTATCCTGCTGGCGCGGTTCCCTCCTGAAGCCAACAACACCGGTGCTCACTGGGGCTTCATCATCATGACCTGGTTGTACAACTTCTCCTTCTCGTGTACCTGCGGTCCCCTTTCGTGGATTATCCCCGCCGAAGTATTCGACACACGGACGCGTTCGAAGGGTGTCTCCATCGCCACAATGACATCGTTTGCGTTCAACACCATGATCGGTCAAGTGACGCCCATCGCCATGACAAATATTCGTTACCGCTACTACTACCTCTTCATTATCTGCAATTTCACTAATGCACTGTTTTTCTGGCTGCTCCTTCCCGAGACGAAGAAATTGCCTCTCGAGGAGATGAACTACCTGTTCTCCAACGCTCCCTGGATCGTGCCTGGTACTCGCAAGGAGGATTATACCCCACACGACTTGGAGCGCAAGCTCGAGGAACAGCAAGAGAAACAGGCTGTTTTTGCGACGCATCACGAGTGAATTCTTTGATAATGACGAGAAGAGTGCAGCTAGTCGGGGAGTGAGGACCAAGCTGTTTTCACAATCCCATGGCACGTTGCTCGAGCTGTATATGTCTGAGATGTAGTGAGAATGCCTAGTATTTTGTTCTTCGTTGACATTTTGTCAACGAATTGGGAAAATGTACATGGACTATTCAAGAAGGTTAGTTTTTGACCAATATCTCAGTCGTCATAATGAACAGCAAGTACGGGTTATTATTGTTCTCTTGAGTGCCTGACTGCAACTAGAAGAATGTACAGCGGCATTGCCATCTGTATCCAAGAGAAGTGTAATAGCTTGCTTTCTCGAAGGTGGAACTTAACGGGGTGTCTATTGGATAATTCCACACCCCAGTGTTCGTGACATGAACAGAGGAACTATTCTAATGAACCAAATGTAGTTACTGTGTGAACAAGTTTGCGTTGCATATTCATTCGGAGTCAGAACTATACCCGGCTAACCCGAGGGACAATGTAGATGACTTTGCTGCTGGCAGACTGGCATTAGCTTCCTGCGGATCTGACGTAGAGGAGGTCCTCAAGGGCTCCGTCGACTTGGCATCCTCTGCAGCCGGTGGTACTTCAACAGCGGCTGGTGTTTTGCTGTCTTTCGAAGGAGATTTCATTTTGGGAGCCTCCATTTTACTTTCGCTGGGTGAAGGCTGTTCCGCAGCGCCTTCGCTCGCGGATTTCCGTTTCTTGCCTGGTATCAGGAATTCTTTGTTTTTATCCCGTCGTCTCTTCCGTGCAGGAATCTTCCAGTCCTCTCCTTCGTTGGACGGCAAAACATCTGCTGATGAATTTTCCAGCAGAGCTTTCTCTGCCTCTTCTCGCTGTCGACGGAATAGTTCAAGCTGCTCCGCGGTCTCTTTCTTCACGGCCGCTTCTTGAGCACGAGTCGACTCCATGATGGAGTCGAGGAACTCCACTTCGTCCTCGTCGAGAGACCGGAACTGGTTCTTCAGTTTTATCTTCTCTTCAAAAGCTTCCTGCTTGGCCACTACGCAGCAGAACAATCACCCTAACATGTCAGTCCAAATGGGATCTATCCAAAAGAGCACCGCAAGCTGCTTTGCACGATGTGGTAACTTACTCTTGTTCTGCTGCAAGACCTCATATAGACTTTTCCCGCCCTCCTGCCTGCCTAGCTCCGCCTTGCGTCTCCGCTCCTCCTCCAATTCCTGCTGTGCACGACGCCATTCATCATCACGCTCTACTGGCTCCTGGTCGGTTCCAGCAGCCACGAAACCAGACGACATCTCGATTCTTCCCCTTGAGATGGGGGGCTTTGTGTCTGTAGATGCAGGCTGCTCCAGGAGTATGATGCAGATATCACATCAAATACGTAGTAATCACTTGTCGTCGGCAATCAGTAACGATACTTGATTTAGAAATATTCGAGTTTAGCAGATTTGCGTCATTCGGCGTGATGGTGCAGGGAGAATCTTGAGCTTGCGTTGGGTAATGTTCTTATAGACTGGCAGAAATGGAGGCGGTGAATGGCTATTGTCGCCGTCACCGCCTTGTTCTAGGTACATTCCTAATCAAGTCCACTTTAGGCATAATGCAGGTGGATGCAGGCCCACACCAGACTTTTGCCAATGCAACATTGCGAGTCCATCCAGGGATCCAGATAAGCTGGAACTACTCCAAATAGTGCAGGTGGTCTACAGCCTGAAATGCTTATCTGACATTCCGGGCCTCTTTTTCTAGCTTACTAACGTTTGAATCGATAGATGCCATGCTTTACAAGGGATCTTCAAACCTTGTTTTTCGATATGGGTTCTGCTATTTGCTCAAGCGAAGAATGCCTGGATAAAGAGGCATACCGCTCGGATAATTGCTCCCTATGCTGGCCAGACATATCTACGGGTGCTCCCCCACTCTTTGAGAGGGGCAACTCCGCCCATCGTAGCTCGTATAGCGTCATAGCCTACTGCTTGGACCTGCCTAACTATGCGGTTCCTCGCGGCTCGGAGCTCAAGGCAGCTTATAAATCCCTCTTGCACCCCTTGTCTTCCATGTTCTCTCCCGAGACCATCGTTCCCTTGCTGCAGCTGCATTCCAATCCAGAACATCAGCTAGTATAGTCTTAGTTCATTCGTGAAAAATGTCGACTCTCGAGCATACGAAGTACGTGATCGTGAGATGGTGATGTGCAAGAGAATTGCTTCGCTAACAATTTCCAATCTGTAGGAAGACCTACACCCTGAACACGGGTGACAAGATCCCCGCAATCGGTCTCGGTACCTGGCAATCTAAGCCCAACGAAGTCAGAGAGGCCGTCAAAATTGCTCTGTTGAAAGGCTATCGCCATATTGACACGTGAGTTGAACACACTTCTGTTCATCATGTCATAGAAGTTCTGCGCGGACTGACCAATCGTAGTGCCCTCGCCTACGGTAACGAAGCTGAAGTAGGCCAAGGCATCAGGGACTCTGGTATTCCTCGCGAAGAGATCTGGATCACCACCAAGCTTGATAACACATGGCACCACCGTGTCCAGGAGGGAATTGACTCGTCTCTCAAGAGCCTTGGTGTCGATTACGTCGATTTGTACCTTGTGCACTGGCCATGCTCGACCGATCCTAACGATAAGTCAAAGCATCTTCCCGACTGGGACTTCATCAAGACATGGTAAGATTCCGCACTTTTTCAATAAGGGATAGTGTTGTAATAACAAGTACCATAGGCAAGAGATGCAGAAACTGCCTGCCACTGGCAAGGTCCGCAACATTGGTGTCTCTAATTTTGGTATCAGAAACCTTGAGAAGCTTCTCAATGATCCAAGCACCAAGATTGTCCCCGCAGTCAACCAGATTGAACTGCACCCGAACAACCCCTCGCCTAAACTCGTGGCCTACAACACTTCGAAGGGTATTCATTCCACCGGCTACTCTTGCCTTGGCTCAACAAACTCTCCTTTGTACAAGGATCAGACTCTCTTGCAAATCGCGGAAAAGAAGGGTAAGACCCCTCAGCAGGTTCTGCTTCAGTGGGGTCTACAGAAGGGATGGAGTGTAATCCCAAAGTCTGTCAACAAGGAGCGCATTGAAACCAACTTTGAGCTTGATGGTTGGGATCTCACAGCCGACGAGGTAAATCAATTGGATAACCTCAAGGACCGCTTCAAGGTCTGTGGTGACAGCTGGCTGCCCGTCAAGGTTTTCTTTGGTGATGACGAGTAAATGTTTCTTAACTGATGATGCGCATATCGTGTGAAATGTCGCTGCATGCCTGACATATCTAGATATCCAATTGATAGATCGAATTACTTTGTGTATCCGCTCAAATATTAAAGTGAATTAGAGAGATGACCAGCCAAGTCTATCAGCAGATCTCTTTTAGTTTTAGTTTGAACTGAATCTTCCAAGCATTGGCAGCTGGATAATCCTTATCACTAAATGGAACAGATCGACTTCGAGCCCAGAGATGAGGTCATAATCCAGTTATATTGTGCTAATCGCGTCCCAAGGGAATTTCCAGCACTTGTATTACCAGACACCGTTATGTTGCCTCAAATAGTAGAGACGTAAATGACGTGAAATATCTAACTCGAAAATAATTCTCATAGATGTCAGTGGCAAGAACCCTCTAACAATAAGCACGTGGCGTCAGCAGATCAGGTGCACCGCCACCGCGCGCGGAGTCATCGGTTACCAGGCACCGTCGCTCATCATCCATTCTCCCATCATCAATTCATCAAGAGAAATGGTATTTTCATCCTCCATTCTTCTTTAGAAGCACCTTTATATCATCGTCAGGATGCCGCCTTCCAGTGGGCACCTGTTGCTCCCGAAGTTCTGGAGAGCAGCAAGGTGAGTTCTCATTGCTTGATAGTGGTATACTTCAATTATCTGACTTTCCCCAGGTTTGCCTATGAGAAGGCCCTGAAGACGCTCAAGGCCAAGTTTCCAGAGCCAGCTCAGCAAGTCTCGCTTCGGCTTCAACCTGCTTATGCACGGATTCCTACCCGCCAGCCCATCAGCCGAGCTGCCGCTATCCGTCAATCCCGCAGCAATCGCTATTTCTCTACTCGTGCAGCAAATTCCTTCATTTCCTCTCTTAAGAATGGCTTGCAGGGAGACCACGCAGCGTATCGTCAATCCCGTGTTGCAGCCAATATCGGTCGCTTTACTAGTCGTGCCCCGTTTGCGTCGACTCTCCGCCCCAACTTGACCGGCGGCACTCTTTGCCGCACGGCTGGAGGCTATACCATTGGTGCCGGTCGTATTGGTGGTGCCCGCTATTTTTCGCATGGTCCGGCCTCTCCTGCGCAAGTGATCAACAATGTGTCAATGGGTGTGCGAGCCTTCTTCCTCTCGGGGCAGAAAGCCAGATTTGACGGCATCGACCCTATTACGGGGCAGAAGAGGTACAAAGCTGTGAGCGCGCTCCAAGATCAGGCTGGGCGTAAAATGGCGGCGGTCCCTCGCATGGCGTCCGGTTCATTCATCGACTTCCAGATTTCTCCAACCATTACAGCCTTTGGACTTCAGAAAAAGGCTGCCTCTGCCGGTGTTCACTACGTGGAAACGTTGAATTCGGACACATTGTCCTTCCTTTCTGCCGACTTCGCACGTGCTCTGAAAGATTTGGCTGCCGTACTTAATGACCTCAAGCGCTTATCCTCACTGGGAGATCTACCTATCTCTTTACATGACAGATCCACCATCCGAGTGCGATTTCCGGGGTGCGATGCTGAGACGGTTGAGCGACTGTGCGATGAAGTCGGCGTTCAGCGAGGACGGATTAGCCAGGATGAGGATTTCAACCTCCGAACAGGAGCTGATCTCGCTCTCCTCTTCCCATTTGCTCCTAGCGTATCGGCTTCTTCGGATGTGGCTGAGTTATTTTTCCGACAAGAGCCGTCTGAGGGACAATCTCCTGATGAGGTCGATTGGCAGGCAATGATGACCTCCGAGGATGGGACATGTTACTCGCCCCGGAATCCTCGAAAGTCGAGCAATGCGCTTAGTTTCGAAGACTCTCCAATCTTTGCCGACAAGAATCCTTGGGTATCATCCTCTTCAGGATATTCCAGCATCAACGTGAGCGAACTTGGCGATCGTGCCTTCTTTCCTGAGGTTTCCAGCGCCGGTTTCCATGAGAGCGCATCAGAGTACGAAGGAGTCGAAGGCATTCACAGGTTCCTGGCTGAATGTGATCGTGCCGAGCACTTTCGTTAAGTGATTTTCTTTTCTTTTCTTGTTATTTTATCATCTACACAGACTTTGACAGTCATTTCTTTTTTAGCTCACAAATAACATATCTGAATTTAATTAAGAAATCAATATCCTGCGAGTACTTTGTAGTTTGCGGAATATACATCGAGTCGAACAGCTAATTCTGCGACCATATCTAAAGGTATTGCTTGCTGGCTGCAGGAGTCACTGCAATTGTATATGGAGGGAGGCATATTATTTATTAATCTTGGTGGCGCAACGCCATCTGCCTATTCTGAAAGCCTAATTACGCCAGCCAACCTAAGTGCTAAGACAACAGATGCTCCTGATTATACCAGAGTTTACAGAAGGATTCCGCTATATTGACATTCCATGTTTTGATCTGACAATTGCGGAATCAACGAGTACGCCAAGTACGCGGACCTCGCTCTCAACGAAGAAACAATGCTGATATATTCAAAGATGCCCGCTTCACCACGGGGATTGGGGCCGCAAACTGATCAGAAGATCATGTTCTGGACGGATCTGGATTGGACTCAAACTCCGCATCTTGGCAGCGCAGTATGATAGCTTCATCTATCTCTCATGGGCATGGATCATGGTCTCCAACCCGTGTGGGAAGTGAAGGGTATTATCCAAAAGGATCGGCAATTCAGTGCTCCGTGTACAAAGTCGAAATATACCTCCTTTCCTTTCTCATAGCGAGACGGAAGGTTGAACTATTCGCTTCCAGAAGGAGCAAATTATCACCATAGATGAGACAGACCCTGTTTCGACAACCTTCCACCCCCGCGATTTCCTGCCTTTTCGATTCCTCACACCATGCTCCTTCATCAAATTCCCCGACGATCCTCTGATTTGAACCGGTAAATTTTCCGTGAACGATCCCCAATTGGTATTCGGTTGCTTGAATGGCGCTGCCAAGACCTGCGAATGTGTCTGGACACAGGAGGGGACGTGCTCCCCAGGCCGCTGGGCATATCAGCAAGCGGCAGGATAGTCGCGTTTCCAGTCCGGCTAATATCATCAGGCTCTTCAGCACATTGAGGGCATGGCAGGTGGCGGAAGAAAGT